ATTATAAAACATTGTAATTTCATCATTTAATATTAAAAATTAATTCTATACACTTATTTTTATAGCACCAAACAGCTCTTTCTTTAAAGTCATATAGTTTTTCAGTTAAAAATCTTGAAAAATTAGGACAAATCAAAATAAAATAGTAAAAGTGGTTATAAAATATACATTAAACTCAAATATAACATTGAAACAAAATCCTTAAAATTATGTTTTTATTTTTCTCATCTTAGAACAAGGAGGCAGGGAAACCTGTTAGCATCTGTACTGGGTTCATTAGTCACTCAGAAACCTTCATAGTTCTATGAGTGAGTGATGTTTGTTTAGATCCACATGGTTCAATGTATCATTACAATAGATACATTAAATGTATACTAGAACTACTTAACTAAGTACACCAACACATGAAATAATTACAGCATTAGAATTTTTATGCATTTAGATAGATAGATAGATTGGAAGCTAAATTTCCAATATATAAGAAGAAAAAAATATCCAAGCTTCCATGAAACATGATTCTGCTTTATCATTGTTTTTTTTTTGTACATTTACAAAACAAAAAATATATAGGTCAAAAGCTAAAATGGTAACTTTAACTACTGTTTTTCAAAGAACTAAATTACATCTCATATTCCACAGAAGGATACCTCACATTGGTCTTGTAATAGGTGTTGTATTTTTTTAGTTTGGTCTGGTTAAATAAAATATGAGGAAAACCCACTTAGTTAAGAAATGTTTATTTTTCCAATCATAGTTTGAACAAAAATAACACAAACCTGATGAATAAAACTTGAGTCGTGTCTGTATTCAATCACATGGGTTTTCTGACTTGAAAACATACAAGTTACAGACAGATAATCAATGCGTATTTTTCCCTCATGCTGGTGGCTGTCAGATTATATGGACTTTTCCAAACAGATAACGAACAGCTATGTGTAATTTGAAATTCAGATTAGGAAATAAATTTAATATCCATGGAAGTAAATATGAACTTCACTGACTGATAGTCAATGCTTGTGTATCAGTGTTGTACTGTCATTGACTTAAAATGGTGTGGTTAGTGATGTTGATACATAAACAACATAATTCACTATAGATGCAAAAGGTTATAAAATTGTGCAAGACTGTACTGTAGAAAAGTTTAAACTGTATTTAGGTCTTACTATTATATTTTAGTTAATTATGTATTAATTATATTTTAAGATGCATAATTGAAAGGTTTAAATATTTTTTAAATATACATCATACTTTGCGTCAGTTCTCAAGGCTTACGATATTACAAGGTGCACGAAAATTTTGCCAAATAGTTGTGCATGTCTGCTAGAGACATTAATATGCCTCAAGGGCACCATTGACTTGTGTTGCACTGAAAAATAGATGGTTAAGAACAAGAAAGGAAAGTAAAAATTAAAAATTAACTATATGTGAAAAGGAAAAGAACTGAAATTACTGATTTACTTAAAACAATATCTTTGAAGATAGTCTACAAAAAATTAAAACATATGTACTTTTTTTCCATTTCATAACTTTAATCATTTCATTGCATTGTACGTTGATGATAATAGCTAGTTAGTGATATGGTAGAGAATATGAAAAAAACAAAATACATTTACCTTAAAAAACTTTTGATATTCATTTACGAAGTTCTAGAGGTTATTCAAATGGAATATGAAAAGTATAAGATGAAGAAAAGTATTTTTATACTTAAAATGAAAATCATCTTGCACTTGAACTATTTTAACAGTTTGAGTGCAAATAATTGCTATAGATAGATAATATTTTTATTAGAAAGATGAAATTATAATAATATCATTCTTTGTGCACAAAATACTTACAAACTTTAACAAAAGCTTATGAGGTTTTGTGAGGAATACTCAAGATTACCATATATTTTTTGCATAAATGTCCTTCCCCAGTAAATGTGATGCAAACTGTGTCAACCCATGCTGAAATGGTTAATGTGAGAATGTGTTATACTGTTTGACATGAGATGTAAGCAGTGTTAATAATATACATTATGTCTGTTCTCAAACACAAATTGTGTTGAAAAGACGTTATAAAGTAGGTTATTTTATGAGAATGAAACTTGATTTTCTGCCTTATTAGGTGTTAGGTACCATGATCGGATCGTATATGGTGCAAGAAATTTGCATACATTGTAAGAAGCATTCTTTACATACATTCATTAGTAATCATTCATAGATGTATTGTTATTTAATTATTTATTTTGAATTTCAGTGTTGAATATAAACATTACTTGTAAATGTGACAGATTTTTCAAAATTTTGAATTATCCCATGGTAATGAATCAGAAAAAATGAAATTTGTCAGGATTGAGGTTACTCTGTTTTAACTTAGTGTGTCAAACATGTGACAATTCTTAGTGTTTGAATTTTTGACATGCAACTGAGACAGAACATAATGAACACAATGAATGTAAAACTTTTAGATTAAAGCTAAGATTTCAGCAATTTTGTTACCTTCAGTATCTGTCAAGCATTACATAGGCCTGCAATGGTTTCATTGTCTTGAAATTTTTACATGTTCTACAGTAATTCTTGTACGCCAGATCTGAAAATGATATCCATTTTTCTCCACCACATACAGATTTTTCACAAAATGTCATATGTACTTATACATAAGTGAATCATTTTCATTGAAATTTGGTTACATTTTGTTATGTTGACAATCACTGGCTATAGAATTCTCTAGACCAATTACGATGTGAGAGTCTTATCGATCATTCTAGAACCCATAAGAAACACCACTAGTATATAAACAGTTAACGGGTTGCATGATGTGTCATT